AACAAAGGGGGTAAAGAAATGACAAAAAAGCAGCCACAGTGACCGAGCAGGAGGTGCAAATATGGAAGAGAAACAAAGACCAGGCTAATTAGCAGATTGGGAGCAGGTGTGGACAGAGGAATCTAGAAGGGAGCTAGGGAAAAGGGGAATGACACAAGAGGGCAACACAGGGCAAGCAAGAAAAACCTAAGAACTCAAATACATCCAGAAATCACCATAAAATAGGAATTAAACCAATAAAATTAGAAAACAAAGAAAAACATGGACCAAAGTGAAACTGAAAACTCAAAAAGAAAACTTAAACAGAACAAGACAGTGACAACAGCTTGTGGATGAAGCATGTTTAGGTTTGCAGGTTGACCCAGTCAGGTTCTACCTGTTGGTAAAGTTTCCACAGAACGCAGAGAGGAGTTTAAACGGGTGTAAACAAAACAATACAGCAGACAATGAAGTCCAGGGAAGAAGCTGAAACTTTTTTTTTTTTTTACTCTTACAAACTACTATGAAACACTACGGGGAAAAAAATGGACCTGTGTAATTAACATCTTCATTCCCTTTCAGAGAAGAATGGATTGGTTGGGAAAACAACCTATCTAGTTGGTTAAACCAATTTTAGTGAGATTGACCTATATAATGGTCAGAAACTGGCCAAGCTATTGGTTTCAGCTGAACCAAAAGAATTGGTTAACCAAACAAGCAATAAAAATGGAAACAGATGTGTGTAATCATTTTGGCAGTGGTGTCCGATGCAGGAGTTTGCCCAACTGCAGGATTGATGGTTCAAACCCCTTTTGGTGTAGTAAAACAAATTAACCAATATTTTGGTCAAAGTGACTGATATGTATTGGCTAATCGTTTCCCTCCTGGTTAATTTGACCTTTTTGGGGTTTTATTTTGCACATCTTTATTCACTGTATGTATCTATAGAATTGGTACATTTGTTTATTTGTCTGGTCTCTGGGTCAGACTGACACTCTGGTTCTCATTCAGGTTCTTCTTTTCCTCTTGTTTTAATGTATTTATTTCTGTTTTTTCTTAGTTTCTATTGCTTTCCTAAACTTTTCTTTATTTGAAGCTATGGCTCAAAATAAGTGTTTTTGTGTTTTCATGATATTTTCTTGTGAATCTTTGTCAAAAATATGTTTACATTTCCACTGATTGTGACGTCAGTATCTTTCTTTAGGTGCTGAACTAGCTGTAGTTGTGGAAAAATATTCTGCTGCACGGTGGCGCCATCTGCTGGCTACAGTCTGTCAGCGTTTATACATGACACAGAATTACTTCTGTATTTATCTGCTTCAGTTGCATTGTTTTGTTTTACTGCAGCTTAATCTTAACTATAACAGCATTAAGCTTAATAATCTTAATCTATTGTCTATTAAGATGCATTTTTAAGATAAATAAGATGTATCTTCTACCTGCTCCTTTTCGCACAGAAAATATAAATTTACATGTCACATGGGCAAAATAATTTTTTTTATATTTTCATTCTTAAGTTTGTTTAATTCAAAAATTTTTTCTTTCTTGATTGTTTTTACTGTCTGTTCGAAATAAAATAAAATAAATAAATTATGTTTTTTTTTTTTCATCCCTATTTGTGTGAAATATTATTCTGATGGAGGGATTTAGACCTTTCTCCTCCTCCTCCTCTGTCTGTTTGTTTTTACATCCCGGATAGAAAATGAAAAGGAACAAAAATAAAAATAAATAATTAATGAGCAGAAAACAGAGTCAAATCCTGTCCTCCTATTTTACTGGGATAAGTGTTAACCTTAAATGCATAAAATAAAACAAAGGCCATTCAGTTATCTACATATCCTTCCATATGATCGTCCAATAATCAAGGTTAAATTCAAAAAGCTTGGGATATGTATTTGTAAAAACATTTAGTGTTTCTATCAGATGATGTTTGCCTGTGAGTTTATGGACTACAATACAAACACATATTTTTAATGTGTGAAAAAGATGCACAAAAAAATGACAAATAGATGAAGAAAATTATACATTTTTTCTATTTGTTATTTGGCTGTCCAGTTCATGTATTTAATACACTAAAGCACATATGTCAAAGTCAAGGCCGGTGGGCCGGATTCGGCCCCCAAACTGTTTATCCATGGCCCCCTGGATGATATTTAATTACCATTAAAACCGGCCCACAGGCCATGGCTGCTTATATGCGCTGCTCTGACTTTGCAGGCTACGGTTGCATTCCTTTTATTTTGGCTTCAATCAGCCTCTGCTGACACCTGTAGTCTGCAGTCTTTTTCTATTCTTCAGTCCTTTTTGGTATTGCTCTGCTTTTTGTTTAATAAATTCCTTTTTTAAAGAACCTCTGAATGAATTCTGGGTCTGCTGCTGTGATTCATCAGAATTACGTTTCTTTTTACAAGACATGATTTTTGTTTATTTTAAAGCAAGTATTGTTTTGTCTGTTATTTTATTTTATTTTACTATTTGAAAGCAGTGATCTGTAGAACAGTAATGCATTTTCGGGTTATAATGCATGCACTTTCATTTATGTATTTATCTTAATAGTTTAGTTTATCAATATAACAAAAGTTTATTAATAAAATTGATATTAATATAAAAAAAAACAAAAAACAATGTGTTAGCTCTTGGTTCAATAGGCTACGTTCATTTTAATATGTTTTAATAAACATTCAACCAGTCTGGGCCTCGGCTTGTAGCAAAGTAGAAATTAGACAAAGCATAATTTTAGTTAAAAAAGTGCTTCTTGGAAGAAGCACTTATTCTGAAATCCATTATTTATTCTCATAATGTTAGGACCAGGCTCGGAATGGGAATGATTCTCGAAAATAGAAGAAAAATAAATCTCTAAATCTCTAGCACTAATACTCGGTCGTATAAAAGAATAGAATAGAATTTGGTTTCTGGTGCTATTAAATCATTTAATCAAATCAGGGACAAGAGCAACATTCCTCACAAAGATCTTTATAAATATCTTGAAATTTGGCATTTTATGGATTCATTATTTCGGTGTAATACATTCCGTAGGGAACTGACAGACTTAGAAAATGTTCTGGTTTCCCCCAACTCTCCAAAGGGTCTGATTTCTAAATTCTATGCACTCTCACTCAGCTCAGTGCCATCAAGCTTTGACTCTGTCAAGCGGCTCTGGGAGCGTGATCTAGAGATGCAATTCAGTAGTTCAGATTGGCTTAAGATCTGCAATGGAACCTTTCATCAATGCACTTCTATTTCTATACAAGAACAGAATTTAAACTTTTCTATAGGTCCTACTATACCACTGTTCGTCTTCAGAGAATGTTCCCCGACTGTTCCAATCTGTGTTGAAAATGTTTGAGGCATAGAGGTACTATTTTCCATCTATTCTGGTCATGTGATTTATTAAGGACCTTTTGGAGGGAAGTTTATTTGGTGATTAAAAAGGTTTAGGGGTTCGCTTCTTTTTGTCTCCTGTGTTTTATCTTCTAAATGTCTCCCCTAATCACATGGGTGCACACTCTATATCCTTGTTTACAATTCTTCAATTTCTTGCCAAGAAATGTTTTTTGTTACAATGGACGTCTCCTTCTGCTCCCACAGTAAATATGTGACTCACACAGATATCTGTTATTCTTCCTGACCCACGATATAAATCACAAATCAGACACATTTTGGCACTTTGGGGTCAACTTTGAGTCTTTTCTGCTTGGTCCCTAGGATTCTATTTTTTTTATTATTTTGTTTATAGCACTATTTATGTTTGCTTGCTTCTGTTTCTCCTATCTTGATGGCTAAAGGGTGATGTGGACGTTAGAGGATTGACTCCTTGTTCCTTGTTCATGTGGGGTATATTTTTTCCTCTTTTTATGCATGTAAGGCGGCACAGGTTTGGTCTTTGTATGTAACAAATCTAAAATGAATAAAAATAATAATAAAAAATGAACAGAATAGAATAGCAATTGTCACTCAGAGGAAAATATTACTACATAAAGGGCGGTTTAATGCTTAATTGTACTTTAGTATAAAATTGGAAAGATTTAGCAACCAAAAATCTTTGCAATTTATTTTTCATCCTGTAGGTGTGACTAGATGAATGCAGGTTGTTTTAAATTGTTTTTTCCTTTAGTAACTGGTAAACTGGGCGTTTATTTACACCTCTATTGTCCAAACTGTTCCTATTTGGTGTTTTAATAGTTTCTTTAATTGGAGACATTTTAAAACCCTTCCTTACCTGCAGGACTAAGGAGCTAAATCTGCCCAGATTAACTCCAGATTAAAGACTAATTTTTTTAAAACTGGCTTTAAATTCTTGTTTTATGCTTATGATTTTAGTCTGTTTTTTTTTTTTTGGCAATGTTTTTATGTTTCTGTGAAGCTCCTGGTGTTGTTGTAAAGTGCTATATAGATCAACTTTGATGAGGCTGTTCTCTCTGAGGGGATGATCGTGGCGTGTGTGTGCGTGGGGCTGTGGATTGTCTGTCTGTGGGAGTGGTCTCCTGCAGGTCACATGGTACGGGCCTTTGTTGATGTGATCCGGGGGAGAAAGACCAGGAGCCCAGAGAAAAAGGATAGAAAAGTCCCGTTTCTGCCCACCGATCGTTTCCGTCCAGGCTTCCCCGGCGCCCAGACGCTCCCGCCCGGCCTGGATGCTGCAGCTGCGGCCCCTCCGGAGCTCCACCTGGGTCTGTTGTTCCGCGGCGCCCCGCGGTCGCTTCTTGTGCCCGCCGGTTTGAGCAGCGGGGGCTGGGGGATGGAGGCTGTGTCCGGGCTGTGAGGTGTGGGGGTCGGTGTGTGTGCAGCCCCCCCTCCAGGCCCTCTGCTGCTTTGTTGTCCCTGGCTGTGTTTTAAAGCCCTCCTCCAGGCTTCCTGCAGCCTGCTTCTCCTGGAAGCCCAGAGGACCTTTAGGGAAACGAATGGACACAAAGAGGATCTGAGGATTTCATTTAGACGCTGATCTTTTCTTCTTTTTGAAGAACATTCCTTCTTAACCTTTAAAACCAGGTTTTTTTTTTCTCTCAAACCTTCCCATTCATCCTTCAGTGGATCTCTCCTTTCTCCTCCCTCTATCCGTCCATCATGGCTCCTGTGCTCCGGCTCTCCTGGTTCTGCTGCCTGCTGCTTCTGTTGGGTCTCCCCGCAGCTCGGAGCTCGTTCCCCCGGAGCGGTGGCGGCGGCAGCGCGGAATGCGGCCCCGGAAAGACCGCGGATTGTCCAGGTGAGACCCCCACCTCCACACACACCTGAGGCTGCAGGTCAGAGGTCACTGGATGCTGCCTTATTGTTGCTGTTTCCTGATCACGTGAGCCAGCTGTAGTCATCCCCCGGTTGTCATGACAAC